TGGCTAACTCAAGCCATGATATATTCATTGCTTGGCTGCACCATGGCTATTTATGCTATGGTTTGACTTCGGTTATGACTTTAGTGAGCCAAGCCGAGCCATTTCAGCCGATTACATCTCTAATTAATACATAATAGTCTTATCCATCTCTATACGAAATGAAAACCATTTTTCATCGTTTGTCCAATAATAAGAAAGTATTGACATATGGCTATATAAATCTGAATCAAGATTTTGTGCATAAACACAAAATCAAATTTAACCATACACATCGTTTCCTTACGTTCCTGGTAATTCTTCGGAGTGATATTCCATGAAGCATTAAATTCTGCAATTCCATGTAGAATTAAACCTGCTTTGGTGTAACTTTTTTTTAGTAACCCAAGATAGCAGTTAACTGGAGAAGCACTCCGAAAAGAATAGACTAGTAGTGCAACAAAAATTCAGCAGATCAACCTAAATCCAGTGCGCCGGACACATGGGCGAAAATTTTTAGTGGGTATATAAAATTAGGGGACATAACAAATTGATAGGCCATTTGGGGTGATAGGTAACAGATAAGTAACTTATAAGCAATTTTACAATCATTGACAAGCAATCACTTTTAATCTTAGAAGTTCACATCTGATCCAAAAGGATTAGAGGTGGACCAATATATGTAAAAGCCTATCTCTATGTACCGTGAAAATATAAAAAAGAGCCTCGAATAAAGCTTTAGACTTCGATGCCTTGGTTATGAAGAATCGATTTCTCCATTGTTATAAGTTTTAGCGACGTATTTGGTGTTATTTTATTATTCTTTACCGTTAAGATTCTAATACGTACATATTTCGATATTATTGTTTAAGTGTATCACTTACGCCATAGATTACCTTAAGTAACTATTGTAACCTGATTTGATCTAATTAGTCACTCTGATAAATATAATTAAGGGATTTACTTATTTGTGCTTTGATTTTGTAAATAAAACAAAGTGGTAAAAACACAAATTAGGGTTAGAACGTTGAAATTAGAAGCTATAGCCATAGACTATTGGCCTATTATATGTAAAATTTCGTTCTCGACATTTTTAATTAGTGAACAAAGACCGATTTAAACACTAGTTTTTGATCATTTTCGCTTTTTCTTCTTTTACACGTGTTCGGAATTCATGTCGGGCTGTTCCGAACGATCAAAATTTGAACTCAGATTGGTTATTTGCATTTTAGGAGTTTGTATTACCGGCCCAAATAAGTAAAGCCATATTAAGTTCCCCGATCTCAGATTCAATAATTGATTGTGAGAGAAGTCAATTGATTGCAATTTTGGGCGTGATAAATTAGTTGCGTGACGAATAAAGATTAACTAATCTAACTAGTATATTCTTATTTGTCACGTACAATGATTCATCACACCCATATGCTTATTCTTATCACTAATTGGTTACAACAATTATAATCAATTATAATTGGGTCGCAATTAATTGTTCGTTAGTTACGTAATCTTACGTGTCCAAGTCATTGCTATAACCGATTTACAGCAGAGACAGTGCCCGATCCAAAGTGAATCCCTCTCGCCTGTGATCAATCACAAATTAAATTATTTATGTTGGATTCAATTGTGATGGATATAATCCCTCACTAGCTTCAATATACGTGTAACATTAACGGTCTCTGCTGTATAACCGATTGTGTTGAATATTTATTACTCTAGTTCTAATAAGCTCTCCCAAAAAGAATAATAACAATACTTTTGATATGGTAGTATAATATTTATTTTTTAAAACCCTATCAAAAATGGTATGTAAATCGATTTTTTTTTGCTACCTATCAAGAATAGTACCGATGATCCATCGAAAATGGTATTTTTGCCTGATCTATTCTTCTGATATGCACTGGGGACGCGTTTAAACTTTTATATCATTGCAAATAAGCGATGGCTAAACGTTTTTTAAAGGGAACGCCTTTTCCACTATTTTCGCCTTTGTCAGGTTATTTAGTTGTAAGTAGTGTGAAAGACATGCTGCAAGTCGTGTGAAAAACGATATAAATGGTAAATTCTATGGTATATAGTGAAAATAGCGTTCCCTTGTTAAATTTATAATTCCTACTTGTATAAAAATTCATTATAAATAAGTCCTTAAATCTTTAATTTTGACAGACGTATACATTCAAGTACACACAAAAAAATTAATGATGCCTGTTCAAAACCTTATCGAATCCATTAAATCTACTACTACTACAGATTTATTCATTTTATTCACGGCTACCTGTATCGCTACCTATGTTTTTAACTTTTATTACAAATACTTTACTCGTCCCAATCCACTCCCTGGTCCATTTCCTCTACCATTTATTGGAAACAGTCATAACTATAGAGATGTAAAGAAATTCTATGAGGAATGTCAACAAAAATATGGTGATATCTGTGAATTGATGCTCGATCGCAGATATATCATTCTTTCACGACCGGAAGATATTAGAAAACTTTTTACTCCTACGCAATTTTTCCAGAGAATTCCAGATTCTCCAGGTATAATTGAATTGGGAATGTACAACCATGCAATTATCTTCAACGAAAATTATGAAAGTTGGAACTACAATAAAAGGTTCTTTACTGAGGCATTATCGACTAGATTTATTGATGCATCTATGATATCTATAAATCAAATCTATGAAGAGATGTGCGGTTATTGGCAATCTCTTGGGAGACATAGTGCTTCAATGAATAATAATAATAATTGGACATTAGAAACAGATTTTTCAGGATGGTTTCATACATTTTCTAATGATGTTACTTCAGTACTTGCTACTGGAACACGCACGCATGCAATTACTTCCTTCTATAACACATTAAGCATTAACAAAGTCGAGCTTTCTAATGCGTTAATTCAAGATGGTACCGACTTTTGTAAAGCACTCGTAAAATTTCTGGAAGGTTTCTTGTTTTTCACGTTCTTTAGTCCTTTTGTTCGGCATTACGTTCCAATATTCAAAAGCAAATCAGATTCGTATTTAAAAAACCGTGATTACTTGTTTAACAAGTTTGATAATATGATCAAACAGAGAAGAACTGAAATCGAAGAAAAGCCGGAGACAAGAACGAAAACAGATATGCTTACTTCCTTAATTACAGCACATACTGTTGTTGAAGGTGAGAATTTTAAGCCTATGAGTGATGCAAATATAAGAATGAATCTGCTAGAAATGTTTATAGGTGGATCAGATACTGTGAGTATTACTTTTCTCTCTGATATATAATATTTATGATTATTGACTTTGTATTTAATTCTAGACTGCAGACACATTCTGCTTCATAGTCTACTTCCTTTGTAAACATCCTGATGTAAAAGAAAAAATGCTTGCAGAAATTGATTCTATTGTACCTACATTTTCTGATAAATTATCTTACAACGATCTCAAAAGACTAAAATATTGTGATGCTATAATTAAGGAAGCTAGTCGTTTAATACCAGCTGTACCTTTTGCATTCCGCCACATTATGACTGAGTGTAAAATTGCTGGATATCAATGGCCAGCTGGTACAAGTTTTCATATAAATTTTGCTGGAGGACATATTCACCCTGTGAGTTGGGATAATCCTAAAACTTTTAATCCGGATAGGTGGCTTTCTAATTATAATGGTAATATCGATAAAGCTGCTTGGATGCCGTGGGGTGGAGGTAAACGTATATGCCCTGGAAAAAATCTGGCAATTATCGAGTTACTTTTAGTAATGTCTTCATTATATAAAAATTATAATGTTGAGTTAGTGAATGAGCATGGGCCATTGAAAATTCATACTCAAATAATTGCTATCTGTACAGAATTGAAAGTTAGAATTAGTCCTCGAATTTGATTTATTAATTTAGCTTTAAGAGTTTCTTTTTCTTTTTTTTTGGCATTTATATTATTGGTTATTTATGCATTTATACTGGGTTAGCACGTATGTTGGTGTTGTTTAATTCTTCGAGGACAAATCTTATTAGCACAGTTATTAACAAATTTGATGCATGAAGGAATTAATGAGTTTCGAATTTGTAATGTTAATTCTAATAATAAACTAGCATACCAAACCTGATTTCGTTAATAACAACAATAGCAATTGTGATAACAATAATGATCTATATTATAAAGTTGATTTTCTTCAGCATTGCATTAATTACATTCGGTTTGTATTTTATTTGCGCACGACACTAAAGAAAAAGAAAAAGAAAAGAAACTATATTTGACTAATTTATTGATTTTACTTCAACAAATTCATTTACGAACGCATATCGAAATGATAATTACTGCAAACATGAATCTATATGAAAAGTTACATTCTGAGTTTATCAACGAAAACAGCAATTTTCTAATCACTGTGTCCATATTCATTCTTAGTCAACTAATTCTATGGTACAAGTTGTCACAGATTTCGATTATTAATCATTTCTTAATTTTCACCGATTAACAAATAACTTTTATGTTGTTTTTTAATATAACCATCGAGCTTATTGTCGCTATAATTCAAGTTTACTAAAAGACCTTAGTTATTATTCTATTTTATGCTTATAAAAAAAAAATTTTAGTTGTTTATATAATGTTTAGCATCACTTTTATTGTCATAAAAAAAATTATAGCCAACATTTCTATAACGAACTGACAGCTCTGAAAGAAAAAAATGTTCATTATAGAAATAACCGATTATTAAAAGCACATAACGTTCTTTGTAACGATCGATTATTTAATTTAAGTCCTTTATATCAGAGTTTGTTATCGAGAGATTCGTTATATAGAGTTGACTATCTATTGACACGGGCGAAACGGCGACTCAGTCGCTTCTCAAATGGATACGTCGTGTAACCTACGAACGGCTTAGTCGATAAGAGGCGGTTAGATTTGGAGAGTGGTGTGTTTATG